TTGTATGCCTTCAGTTGGTAACAGTGGTTTGCCTGGTCTAGGATTGGAAGTTCCAGGTTTTGAAGGTGGACCAAATAATTTAAGTGGGCCGTCAGGATTTCCAGGGGGCCCTCAGAATTTTGGAAATGGTCCTGGTACCTTGGGTGGCTCCCCTGGCTTTGGAAGTGGCCCTCCTGGTCTTGGAAGTGCCCCAGGGCATTTGAGTGGGCCACCAGCCTTTGGACCTGGACCTGGACCTGGCCCTGGCCCAATACATATTGATGGTCCCCCTGGCTTTGGGTCTAGTTCTGGAAAACCAGGACCTACTGTAACTAAAGTTCAGAACATGCCCTTCACTGTGTCTATTGATGAGATTTTAGATTTCTTTTATGGGTATCAAGTTATCCCAGGCTCAATGTATTTAAAATACAATGAAAAAGGTATGCCCACGGGTGAAGCCATGGTGGTCTTTGAATCCTGGGATGAAGTCACAGCTGCTGTCATTGACTTTAATGATAGACCAATAGGATCAAGAAAAGTAAAACTTGTATTAGGGTAGCCATTTATTCTTTATAGAGTAGATCTTCATATTGCTGTGATTAATGCATCTAGATTTTTTTCCTAGTATTTTCAAGTTAGAAGCTGTAGATTGTTTCAATTGCATATAGATTGGTTTTCATAACATAGAGCATTGGTGACTGTTTACAACTTACTATCAGGATAAACATTGCTGTATGTTACAGTAAAGCTATCTGGAAAGAACACAAACATGATTTTGGCATACCACTAGAGAAACCATTTGTAAAACCCAGTGATGACATAAAGCTTATCATGGAGTCTAGATTGTTTTGTTTTATATCATATGGGATGAAGAAAATAGAAATGTTAGTAGAGTTCACTGAGTTTACTCTTGCCAGCTACTGAAAAATAGAAGTTGGCTACTCTGGGAATTTGGTTTAAAACTGAACAGATTCACTTTGTTATAGGGTCAAAACTTTGTCTAAAGTCTTCATTTTCTTTTAAAATTTAATAAAATCTCTGTATACAGAAAAAAAAATTTACCAATTAAGAAAAGCCCGAGCCCTGATGGCTTCACTGCTGAATTCTACAAGACATTTAGAGAGGAACTACTGTCACTACAGTTTAAAATCTTCAATGAAATTGAAAGGGAAGCAATACTCCCAAATTCATTCCTGGAAGCAAGCATCACCTTGATCCCCAAAGCAGAGAAAGACCTAACTGAAAAAGAGAACTATAGGCCAATCTCACTAATGACCACAGATACAAAAATCCTTAATAAGATACTGGCAAATAGAATGCAGAAGATCATCAAGAAGATCATACACCCTGACCAAGTGGGATTCATCCCAGGGATGCAGGGATGTCTCAATATATGCAAATCAAAAATGTATTACACTATATTAGTAGAGCCAAGGACAAAAACCATATGATCATCTCAATAAATGCAGAAAAAGTATTCAACAAAATCCAACATGCATTCATGATAAAAACTCTACAAAAAATTGGAATAGATGGTCTCTACCTCAATCTGATAAAACCAATCTATGAAAAGCCAACAGCCCATATCATACTAAATGGTCAAAAACTGAAATCCTTCACGCTAAAATCAGGAGCAAGACAACAATGCCCACTATCACCACTCCTGTTCAATATAGTTTTGGAAACATTAGCCATAGCAATTAGACAAGAGAAAGAAATAAAGGGAATAAAGATAGGAAATGAAGTTTAGTTGTCACTATTTGCAGATGACATGATACTCTATATAGAAGACCCCAAGAACTCCATCAAAAGTCTTCTAGACTTAATAACCAAATTCAGTAGAGTAGCTGGATACAAGATCAACACACACAAATCAATAGCTCTCCTGTACACAAACAACAGATTCACTGAAAAAGGAACTGGAGAAATAACTCCCTTCACAATAGGATCCAAAAAAAGGAAATACCTAGGAATCAACCTAATGAAAGAAATCAAAGACCTTTACTCTGAAAACTATAGTACTTTGAAAAAAGAGATTGAGGAGGATATCAGAAAATAGGAGACATTCCTTGCTACTGGGTAGGAAGAACCAACATAATGAAAGTGGCCAGACTGCCAAAACTGTTATATAGATTTAATGCAATCCCAATTGAAATTCCAGTAGCATATTTCACAGACCTTGAGAAAACAATCCCAAAATTCATTTGGAACAAGAAGAGACAAGGTAGGGAATATCACAATCCCCAAGTTGAAACTGTATTACAAAGCTACTGTGATAAAAACATCATGGTACTGGCAAAGAAACAGACCTGAGGACCAGTAGAACTGATTAGAAGATGCAGAAACAACTTCAGACACACTCAGCCATCTCATCTTTGACAAAGGAGCAAAACACCCTCACTGAAGGAAAGATAGCCTTTTTAATAAATGGTGTTGGAAAAAGTGGGTTTCAGCTTGCCACAGATTAAAATTAGACCTGTATCTCTCACCATGCATTAAACCAAAATCGAAATGGATTAAAGATCTAAATATTAAAATAGAACACTAAACCAGCTGGGAGAGAGGTTAGGTAGAACTTTTGAAGACATTGGTGTAGGAAAAGATTTCATGAACAAAACCTCAGTTGCACGTGAACTAGTACAAAGAATCAGTAAGTGGGATCTCCTCTTATTAAAAAGGTTCTGCACAGCAAAAGAAACCACCAACAGTGTGAAGAGACAACCCACAATGTGGGAGAAAATTTTTACCAGCAGTTCCTCAGACAAAGGTCTACTACCTAGCATATATAAAGAGCTTAAACAAATCAGATCTCCCAAATATAAAGATCCAATCCAAAAATGGTCATCTGAAATGAACAGACATTTCTCAGACAAAGAAGTAGAAATAGTAAATAAACATATGAAAAAATGTTCTACATCACTGGTCATTTGAGATATGCAAATGAAAACAATGCTGAGATTCCATTTCACCCCAGAAGGAATGGCTGCTATCATGAAATTAATCAATAACAAGTGCTGGTGGGGCTGTGGGGAGAAAGGAATCCTTCTCCATTGTTGGTGGGAGTGCAGACTGGTGCAAGCACTGAGGAAATCAGTATGAGGATACTTCATAGAACTAGAGCTAGAGGTCCCATTTGACCCAGCTATTCCTCTGCTGGGTATCTTTCTAAAAGAATTAAGAGAACCATACCACAGCGTTATATGTGCACCCATGTTTGTAGTGGCACAGTTTGCAATAGCTAAAACTTGGAAACAGCCTAAGTGCCCATCAACTGGAGGCTGGATAAAGAAGATGTGGTTTTTTAAAAAATAAAATGGAGTACTACTCAGCCATAAAGAATGAGAAATTACAGGCATTTATAGCTAAATGGTGGCGCATTGAGGTGATACGCTTAAGTGAAATAAATAGGACACACGTGTAAATACTGAATAGTTTCTCTGGTATGAGAAAGTGAAAGTGTAAATAAGGATCAAAATGTATAATAGATAATGTGAAACAGGAAGAAAAGGTCCAAAGGGGAAGGGGAAGGGAAAGAGGTAGGGGAAAGGAAAGGGGGAATGGAATTAACATGAGAAAATAAAGAAAAGGAAACAAAGACTTTGTAAATGGGGAGGGATGGAGGGGTTGAAGGGAGGGCAGGATATGGGGGAAAATAAGAATCAAGATAGATTATGTAAAGGTGCAAATCTCCAATGATGAATGTTACAATTATATTGTATACCTAAAATGTACCAATAAAATTAAAATTAAAAACCCCAATGGGCCATTAGGAAGGAACATTTTCTTTTACTGGAGAGTTTAAAAAGTCAAACAGCGCATCTTTTTGTCCAAAGAATTCTCTTAGCCATCCCTTCCCCAGTAATATCTCACTGAACACCTCTATTCTTTGAGCTTAACCAACTTTCATCCTCTTTCACTCTGGGGAGGGGGAACATTTCTACAATTATCATAGGAAAAGAAATTTATCCATAGCTCCACATATGAATCTCCTAATCATTAAAGGGCTGAGAAACAAATGATTTTTCATATAATATAATGTAATGTAATATAATAGACTTTTAATATGGCCAAGGCTCTGCCCATGTATCAAGATTATTCCAGTTCTGTAAATCACTCTGCAAGGAAGGTATTATGACTTCCAAACTGTGGATAAAAAAATAAGATTCAATATGGTAGATGATTTACACAGTGTTATAAAGTTAAAAATGCTATGTCTTGAATTTGGAATTCGTTTTTTGCACCAAACTATGCCATATCAAATACTGTGTTAATGTTTCATCTTTTTTCCTTCAATTACTCCTAAATCCCATGGAGTCGGATGTGAACAGAAATACCCTTATAGATTTTAAGGTGTTACATAATTGCATCTTAGGTGTAATGTGCAGACTTAGTAGTGCCAAAAACAATTTCAAAGGGAAAATGACTCTGAGTGAAGTGATACATACTTTCAAGAGTCTGGTCTTGGACACACTCAGGAGAGTTATGATACCCCACAACCTTCCTCTGGAAGGATTTCCCATCAGGAGACGGAAGAGTTCATTGGAAAACATGGCACCCACAGTAGCTGCTACATTATCTCCACTGCCTTGTCCAAACTAGGAGTTCTCTCTCATAAGCTCATGCTTTCTTTACCCAAGAGGAGGCATCGGGGTGTTTTGTTGCTCCCAAGAAATACAGAAATACACAGGGGATTAAGTGACTTAAGCTTATCTGACTGGAGACATCCTATAGCCATATTCATTGCACTATCTCCAACATATGTTAGTGGCACAGGGAAATCTATGTGGCTACCTACTGGGGCTTCCTGTAGGAAGGGAGACAAACTACATCTTTATTTTAGACCCCTAAATATCTATGGTTCATACCTCCATTCCTTTTCCTGTTATTACTAAGCCAGGGTAAGGAAAACTATTTGGTTCTGTGCAGATACTTATATTATTTTTTTATTCTAATGCTCTCCTGACTTCCATTTGTTTTTCATGCCCACAAAACTCTTACCTCTTGAAGAATGAGGAGGGAAGTGGAAAACTCCTACTGTCATTTATTCTTCAGAAATCTAAAGTTTTATTGACAATTTTGACTTTTGATATCAAAATTTTGATTTTTGCTACTTTAGAGTTTCAGAATTCCTTTCTCTGATGTAACTCTTAAAGGCAATATTACAAAAAAAAAGCAACAACATATATTTGGGCTGGGAATGTAGCTCAGTGATTCCACTGCCTGCCTCGCAAACACAAGGCCCTGAGTTCAATCCCCGGTACCAAAAAAAGGCAATATTAAATAAGAAGTGTTAGTTTTTGTATCTTTGCTGTAACAAGCCTTAATTAGGGAGTGAGAGGATGATTGGGTAGCAGTGAGCAAGAGTTGGAAAAACAAAAGGAGAGAAGTATCGACTTTGCCTAAGATATCAAAATATTATTAGGCTACACTCAATTGCTCTTATATTATAAGGCATAAGACATGATCTGAAGAAGAGATAAGTGGGCCTGAAGGATTGAAAGGAGGGGGGAGGAATGGGGAAAAAGAAGAATTAAGACACATTATATACAGGTACAAATTCCCTGTGATGATGAATGTGATCATTTTGTATGGTAAACATGTACTAATAAAAATTAATTTAAAAAATGGGCCTGAAATATAAGAGCCTCTCCTTTTTGCCATGGTCTTAGTTAGCCTGAGATGAATGCTAGAAAAATATCAATAGGGAATTCATAAAAGATTTATTGCCGCCACAGAGAACTAGAATAAGGTCACTGAGGGATCATATAGTTGGGTAGACTATCCTATGGATCCCGTAACTGGTAATATTTGAGAAATTAAAAAAGAACTCAAGAGATTAGGGAGAGAATTCAAAGGCATATGAGAAATCTGAGGGGATACAATATCTTAAACCTGGCAATAAGGTATGAAGAGGAATATTTAGATGAGAAAAATAATATGATGAATTGGGCCAGAAAATAGTGCTAGGTGACCTAGCACATCCACTCTTCTGCTCTGTAGATGCTCGATGTGTCTGTAAGAGAACAGATGAAGATTGATTAGCCCTCCTCTGCCATCAATATGCCATTTTCCACTTCTCCCACTACTTTTCAGCTACGGCCTTCCCCACTTCTTTCCTTTCTCTGAACCGTGGCTTCAGCTCTGGCAAACCTGAATTCTTACCTTTCCTTCCAAGGTGTGACTCACAAGGGCCCTGGGTGTCGGGAGGCACCAGCTGAGCGTAGGCCTTGGATGATGAAGACGGTGCCTACTATGATGCCCACGAGGCCCACAGACAACCCCAGGGCACAGACCACAGTCTCCGTCACTTCTGACATGGGGGCTGGAATCTCAGGTTCTGTGAACGTAGAGCTGAGGTCAGAAGGTGGGCTGCATTCATGAGCATAATGTGGGGTGGGGCGTGGGAAGTTGGTTCCACAGATTCGAGGCCCTGGCTTGAGGGGGAAGAGTGAAGCTTATCATTAGAAATGGTTCAAGTGTGGAAAACAAGCTTTGGATATTAGGGGCTCATGGGTAGGATGTTCTGCACTGGCAGGAAATGTGAAGATACCGAAGGCAGCGGAACTCACACATACCCCAGTGTTTCAGAAGAGGCTCGTCCAGGCCCCAGTGCTCCACTTTGCAGTCATAAACATCATCCGCAGAAGGGAGGAAGGTGAGGTAAGCCATTTTGAGGAAGGAGTGATCACTCTTGGACAGGAAGCTGGTCTCAGAGACACCTTCTGTCACCGACCGCCCATTGCTCAGCCATGTGATGTTGATCACAGGAGGAAAGATGTTGTCCACAAGGCAGATGAGGATGTTGGGCTGACCCAGTACCACGGGAGATTTGGGAAATACAGTCACCTCAGGAACCTCTATAAAGATGAAATAGCACCGATATGAATTGCAATAAGCTCTGCTCCCAGGTTCTGTATTTCTTCCTGAACGAGCCCTCCCACCCACATCAACCTATATAACCGTCTGAGTTATTATTTAACTTCTGCTTGTGAATCCCTGTATATTGACTCTGATTTGTCCCTGTGCTCTTCTTTCTGTGGGGATGCTTAATATCGTAGGAGGTCAGTGGGGCCTCCCACAGAAGGATTTAATGCACACATAATGTGAGGACCTTGTATTACGTGGAAATATGTCATTTGTGGGATGGGAGAGTTTCAGAAATTACCCGGAGGAGATCTGAGGACTCCCTGGGAAGAAGAATGTGACAACTAGTATGGAGACAGAGGTTCAGTAAGGTGAGGGAGAATGGTGAACACATACCATTGGTAGCAGCAGTGGAGTTGGAATGTTGAGTGATGATGTCCAAGTTGTGTTTCCCTATGGCTATGTTATTCAGTGCACCTTGTGGGTCAAAACCTGCGACTTTATTAAGCCCAGGCAGCCAAAAGATAGTCTCTTTCTTCTTCAGGTCCACATAGAACTGCTCATCTCCATCAAATTCATGGGTATACTGGCCAGAGGGACCATAAGACTGGTAGACATTTACACCGTAGGAGGCAACATGGTCAGCTGATGAATGTAGGTGAAGAGCAGAAAGGTGGAAAATAGGAGAAGGAAAAGAACATTGTTAAACAAAGTGACAGAAAAAACTGACTACCAAACAACATCTTTGCTACAATTGCACAAAATTCTCAGTGCTTGCTTCCTCTTCCCTTAGTCAGGGTGGTTATCTGGTTAGAATCCAGGGAGCCTTTCCAGGTATGATTTATGCTCTACAATGTCAGAATGCCACGTATACAATTTCTGTTATTTATTAAGTTTTCCTTCGGTACCTGACACATGACACATTGTAAATGTATAAAATAAATACTGTAACTGAATGAAACAAGGAACAAATAAATTACTGCAGTATGAAGTTTTCTTCGCCAGATACAGCTTGCTTCCTTCTGCTTCATAAGTCTTATCCTATCTCTCATCTGATTCTTTCATCAGTTAATAACAAATTATAATCCTTCCTTTCCTCACAGGATTAGGTCAGAACAGGATGTTTATTACGCAGGAATTCTCCCCTCCACCTCCTTTTAATCAATGAAAACCACACAGAATCTTATTTTAAAATGTCTCTTCTAAGAATTATGGGGTACATAAGAAAGAATATAATGACCGTGGAAACATTACAAAATATAATGCAGTGATCCTTAGAAGAGAGGGGCCAGTTTCTTCAGAAATGGGAAATGGAAGCTGCATGAGTGTCTAGAGTCTTGCCACCCCCTCACCTCCTATTCCTGAACGAGATTACCAAACGTCTCCTTTTTCTGAGGCAGCACCTACATTCACTCGAGGCCCAGGGTAAACGAAGGCCCTTTTCCCCGAGGCACCGCATGCTTGCCCGAGAGCGCCCAGGCAGAACGGCAGCCAGTGCAGTCTGACGCCATCCACGCGAAACGAACTGGACACTCCTGGCCTTTCATCCCTCCTTGCGCGTTTCGGGTTCTCGTCCTGCTTTATGTACTGAACCTCAACAAACAGCAGACATAATGGAGGGCAAAGAGTACAATGCCAGTTGGGCGTCTTCTCTGCCACCAGAGAGCTCAATGAAAAATAGGAGAGTCAGGTGAGTAAAGAAGCAGACACAGCCCCGGAGTAGGCTCCGTGCTGATGATGTTGGCCGCTGATAGTCCAGCATCCTGCGCAGGCCTTTGCAATCAAAGCGAACTGCACCATCCTTTCACGGTTCTGTCTTTGCAGGGGCCTGCTTTTCTCCCCGGAATTATCTTCCGGGATTTTTCATTCATCCTGGACATCTCTACCAGTATTTTAGCAAACTAACAGTGCTTTCAACCACTTTTGGCCTTCACCTCCTCCCTCCCAATGTCCTGCTTGGAGAACAGGATGCTTTCTTCTGCTCAGCGTAATCCCCTTAGTCGATCACATACGTGTCCTTCCACCCAGCCTCCTTGTGTTTGCAATAAATCTTCCGGACTCCTTTTTCCGAACCCTAATAGATGTGTAATTCTTTGCAGTTTATATTTGTTATGGCTGCCGTGTGTTGCGGGAGGACCTCACACTGCTGTGCCAGCTGGCGCCCAGTCACTCCCGTGGTTTCAGTCTCAGCTGTGTCCACGTTCTACTCAGCAGTTGTCCTTTCCCACCCTCCAAATTGCTTCACTCCAATTTTTCACCCTCTAGGGGGCGCATACAATAAGTTTCCATCATTAATTCTCCCAAATATTACTCATTATGTATTAAAAAGGTATCAAATGACAGTTGCTGCTCTCCAAGATCACAGAGCTGTTGGGGGAGACCCACAGCTAGACAGACAGCAGAATGGTGAAAATCAGGACCCACGATGATGAGGGCTGCACTGTGACTCGAGATGCAAACACTGTTGCCTTCACAGGCACCTTCCTCCATAAAGATATCACAGTTATGTTTTATGACAGTCTTGGAATAAAGACATGTCATTCAGGCTGAATTAAAAGGTAAAACATTTTCTTAGACCCTAAAACTTCATTTTCTTTTCTAATTTCAGAAGAAATTTGAGGGAGTCTATAAATACTGTGAGCACATGGCACGGGACCCGCTGTGCCTAGTGGATTAGTGGACTTAGACCAGGGAACTCTGGTGTGATATTGAAGAAATTAAATTTGGAACAAAGTCAAATGTTGTGTAGAAGCAGGTGAAACTTCCACTACCAAATAAAATCAGAGTGGGTGTAACTGTAGCTAATAAACTTGCTGAAGCTTAGAGTACCTACCATTATACTTCCCCTTTCAACTATCTGACTTTTCAACTTTTAAAAAAATTATCACACAATTCATATCAAAGAGCAGAGAGTCAGAGATGGTTTCTGAGAGGAAACAGGGATAAAGGAAAGCGTGAAGATGGGGTAGAAAGAGGTGGGATACAGAGGCAGAGAGGCCTAAGGGAAAAAATAACCTGTGTCTGCTCATTTTCTATTCATAGAACTTCATCGGAGAAAGTGGAGAACAGGTAACTTGGATTGATAAAATAGTTCACCAAATCTTTCATCAAAAGTTCTCGATTGTAAAATGAAAATAAAGATATTTCTTACTTTGTTAAAGAAAAAAACATGAAACTGTAATTGGAACAGATGGGGGAAATTTGGACATTTATAGATTTTCACTATTTCTGAAGCATATCTCTATATCTATTTTATTTGATTATTTGCGAAGCCACATGCGAGGCAGCAAAGGACAGTGAAGAACATGTGGTGAAATGAGAGTCTAACGACACAACCTGGTTCCCACCTGTGGTCATCCCCAGAACAGAGCAGTGTGTAAATGTGGGACAAAGGAAAGGACATCTTTCCATGTATCCACACATTTCAGGAAACTGTTTTCACCAAATATGTGGGAGATGTATCGAAAGCTTAAAAGTTGGTCAGAGAAATCTGAGAGTAATAGCGCATCACATTTTGGTAATGCAGTGGTTCACTCGTGCAAACGTTGCTAATCATTGAGGCAACAACGACTGCGCGTCACAGCACCCTCCAGGCTACATTCACGGGATCTGGTACTAGAAACGGAACAGGAGCCTGGTGGACTGTGCAGTGGCACAGCTACCAAAGGGAGTGGATTGGGCTCTGACTTCTTGAAGGAAAGAACAAGATAAGTTTTCGATTTCTTAATTCTGAGAAATCTCTCTTCAGCCTCTCTTCATCTCTTTTTCTCCCCTTCAGTTCCCCATTTTCCAGCTCCAGGGAATGAAGTTCCCTCAGCTGTGCACTCACCCACGATGTCTTCACCTCCGCAGGAGCTCATCAGAGTGGTCAGGGCGAAGACCCCGAGAATTAGAGCTTTGTTTAGAATCATCCTTGTCTCAAGGTGGTCTCAGCTGCTCTGAGCTAGGGAGCAATTGTGAGAACTGAGCCAAGGAAATCTAAAGACACCCAAACTAAACACTGTCAGGTCAGGTTTTGGCCAATCAGAAAAATCCCTGATGATGACACCTCAGTTGCCAGGTGCAGAGTTTGTATTAAGAGGCCTGGAAGGACAGAGGGGAATCCCCTGGTTCTGTGTTTTAGTTCAGAGCAATTAAAGGGGTTATAATGACATGTGGTGCTGCCTACAATAACTGTATGATCTTTTATCCAGACTTTTTCCTTTCCTTAAGTAGTCTTTGTGCTCTATGTTTTGGTACTGCCTGACTGTGTTTAAAGGAAATTTATAGACATTGATTACATAAAAGAAAGCTCAGGCTAGCTCAACTATTCTACGAATTTTTTTAAAATTTAAAAATATCGAGTCAAATGTTGAGGATGGAACAAGGGGGAATTTCTTTAGCTAAGAAAATTGATTTCCGTCCCTTAACCTGGATTTTTCATATTTGTTATCTGGACATATTAATATTTCAGATATTTGTGAGGGACTAGGGAGTAAGCTTAAAGCCACATGCAGTCATTAGAGGGAGATTTTTTCCAGAAGAATGTATTTTCTGTGCATTGTGGAGCCCACAAAATGATGGTGACTTGGAATCAATCACTATGTCCCTGTTAGATGAGCTGCTATGTTTCTCAGCTCTTGATCTTACCTCACAGTGACAGAAAATGCAAAGAGGGTGAGACAGAAAACATTTCGACATCTGGGAGCTGTCTGGATGCAATTAACTAGTGTTGATGCTGCTTTGAGCTGGGCGGCACTCTCCGCTGGCTTTGGTGTTCTTCTGTGGAATAGAAATCATTTTACAGAACGTCAGTATTAGCCACCCTGTGAACACCATGGATTAAGATATAGAATAAGACCATTCAATAATTATTTCTGAGTACAGACAAAACATGAATATTGCCCAATCCACAAAATAGCCAAGTATACTGGCTTCCTATGTGAGACTACTGTTTCTTTACCATTAGAGCTTTAACCTCACTAAAGGTAAGATTTATTAAAATACCCATAGAATTACCCTCCCACCTCTACCCACCACCTGGCAGAATCCAATTATGTGCAAAATCCCCTTACTTCAATCCTCTTCAAAATTGCCTAAAACAATTCCAAACCCTATCCTCATTTAATAGTTTTTCTGTTTCTAGGATATAGACCCCAGTTATTCACTGAAACACCAATCTAAGTGTCTCTGTGAAGATATTTTGTAGCTGTGATTACTTTCATAATAAGTTGACATTAAATAAGAGAAATTATCGCAGCTAAACTGGTGAGCTGGATCCAGTCAGATGAAAAGCAACAAGGGAGAGCTGAGCATCTCCAAGAAAGAAGACGTCCTTAAGCACAGCAGCTTCTGCCTGTGTGGAGATTCCGACAAAACTGATGATCGCCTGCCCTATGGACATTGGACCACCAGTTATATAAACTAGTTCTTGGCAATAATTCCCTTAATATCTACCCCTGATGGGTTCTACTTCTATGATTTCAAATACCCTCTTACTGAGATATCTCACAGTTCCCGTTGGTGAGTTTTCGCCTTCATTTCAGTGAATTTGAGAACCAACTTGTCCTCCAAGAGTGTGGTCCTGGCGACCCTTGCCTGAAGGGCAGTGTCTTATTAGGTAACTGGGAGGGATGTACAACTACTGCACTCTTTAGGATTTAAAACATATGTGTCGTACTTTAATAATCATCTGCATTTTACAGAGAGGATATTGGACTCCAAGAGTTTAATGAGTTTGTCCAAGGTCACAGAGCTGATAGCTGGTAGAGCTGGAAGGTGACAACACCAAGCCACGAGTCCTCATGGAGGGGGAAGCTCCTTCTTTGTGGATTCAGAATCCTGTGCCCCAATATAATTAGGATAGATACTTAACGCTGTAGGTGGCCTTATTGTTCTTTCCAGTCTCTGTCATTATGAGCCAAGAGGGCTTTTGAGGCTTCAGTTGAGACGTGCTCATTTGCCACTCAGCATCCTCTTGCTGTGCAACAAATAACATATTTCTATGCTTTCTCCTGTATCCAGATTGGCCTGCATTGTGTCCTGCAGGAATTCCTTAACATTTTTGCAAATTAACTATACAGTTTTTGATATTGCTCCAGAAATTCACCTACTAATGTTACAGTTAAAATTTTTAACTCGAATTAGGAAGTTAGGATTTTAAACATGTGGAATCAGAATTGCATCTCGAGTGGGAAGTTGAGGGTCCAGTCTGAGTTCTCACATCCTGTGGGGTGACAGGAAAGTCTGAGCAAGGCTAAGTCATTAGCTAAGAGGTGAGAGAGGAGCCGCATATTTTTCACCTGATTTTCTCTCTCTCTGTCTCTCTCTCTGGTACTGGGCATCGAACTCGGGACTTTGAGCTTGCGAGGCAGGTGGCAGAAGCTGTGTCTCTCTCTTTTTCCTGCTGTACTCAGCTATAACTCAGTGAACCTGCTTCTAACTTCTTCCATCAAGTCATAATTTTAAAATAAAGTAAAATTATTGGTGAGTAAAGTAAAATTGGTGAATAAAGTAAAATTATTGGTGAAGACTCAGAAAAACTGGCATATAATTTTAACAAAAGTTAGTTTGTTACTTTTGTCTTCTAATAGGAAAAGGAAAAAAAAGCATTTTTCAAAAATTATTGTGAGGGCTGGAGACTTGGCTCAGTGGTTCTGTTGCCTGCCTCACAAGCGCGAGGACCCAAGTTCGATCTCTGGTACTAAAAAAAAAAATTATTGTGTGAATAAAATTAAAATAAATATCATTTGTTCACTAATTTTCATAAAGCACCCATTTAGATGCTATTGATTTCATAACTAAAATATTCTTTATTTATGTTATGTGCCATTATGATTCAAATAATTGGACCTGTCAGGACATTATTTACAGAATTCATCATAGTTCTAACTACCATTTGCAACATTCTGTAAGACTCTGTGTGCTTTCATATTCTTTAGTTCTGACTTTCAATTATTTTGTTCTGACATAGCCTTAATTACTTTTCATTGGTGAATTTTTACAATAAAGACCAATATTTCTACCATCTGGCAGAATTAAAGGTGCTTCATAAAATAATGGTTCAGAGTACCAACATGAAAATAAGATGAACTTTATAATAAAATACATAATTATTTAATACTGCTTTTGATTTCATCAGCTGGATTTTCTTGGGAAAAATAACTCAAAATATTGCATTAGAATTTTTTTATAAAGCTGGATGAAAACTTTTTAAATGATTATATAATGATATGATGAAATAAAGTTATAAAAAAGTACATATTATAAAAATTAAATATAGTCCAATGCCTGGTACATAGAAGGCTTTTCCAATGATACCTACTAATGATGACACATATTAATAATAACAACAATAATAACATCACTCCTAGGCCAGGGACAACACATCTATGTACAGAAGAGTTTCATCACTCCAAAACACTCCCCTGTGCTTCTTTTTAGTCAGTCCCTGTGCCCAGGTTTATAGTCTGCCTTTGTGAAAATATCATATAAATGGAATTATACAGTATATATGTTTAAAGTCTAGTTTCTTTCATTTGGCACAAAAATTAATAAAATTGTTCCAATGAGTTGTTCCTTTTTATTTTTGAACACTGTTCCATTGTATGAATGTACAGGGCTTTATATTTCATTTCCTATGTGAAGGACATTGGAGTTATTTCTAGTTCTTGGTGATAAAATTTAAGCAGGTATGTTTTCACCTAAAAGTTTTATGGTTTTAGTTTTTTGCCTTTAGGTCTATTATTCATGTTGAGTTAATTTTTGTACAGGAAGTAAGGTATGGATCAAGGTTTTTTATTTTGTGTATGGATATCCAGTTTTTTAAAATTTGGGTTTATTGGTACATTTTAGGTATATATTATGATCACATTCATCACTGGAAATTTGTACCTGTACATGATATATCTTAGTTTTTGTTTTTTCCCCTTCCCCTTCCCTCCCTTCCACGCCCCTACCCCTCCCTATTTACAAAAGGTTTGTTTCCATTTTTTTCTTCTTTTCTCATATTTTTTTCTTTCCCTTCTTTCCCTCATCCCCCTACTTCCCCTTCCCCTTTGGACCTTTTCTGCCTATTTCACATTATCTATTATACATTTTGGTCCTCATTTACACTTTCAGTTTCTCACACCAGAGAGACAATTTGGTATTTATACATGTGTCCTATTTATTTCACTTTTTTCTAGCATCATTTAATTAAAAGTCTATTGTCATCAAATTGTCTTTGCTTTTGTGCAAAAAACCCAATTAATTATATATATTTGAGTCTAATTATGGACTCTATTCCATTTCATTATCAATATTCTTGTCTTTTTGCATAACATCACTGTCTTAGACTTGTGCTTGTCTCTGGGACAAAATACCCAACACCTAAAATTTAAAGGAGGAGCAGTTTATTTTGGTTCACAGTTTCAGAAGTTTTGGTTATGGTTCATCAGCTCCAAGGCAGAAACTGCATGGTGGAAGGACCAGGGTGGAGGAGAGCTGCTTATATCAAGGTAGCCAGGAAGGAAAGAGAGAAGGGAGGGTGGAAGATGGAGATCTATCCTTCCAGGTCATGCTCCAAGTGATGACCTCTTTGTGCTACACACCACTTCCTAACAACACATTATTAGTGGAGCTATGATCCAATAATCTTCCAAAAGCCCTACCTCTGAATGGAGGCCTTTGGGGGACATTCCAGATCTAACCCATAACAAACACTTTTTAATTCAATTTTATAATAAATCTGAGAATTAGACAGTGTGAATTCTCCAATTCTGTTTTGTCTTTTACAATTATTTTTGGCTATTCTTTTTCTTGTCCTTTTCATAAAAAACATTAAATTACTTTGTCAATTTGTACAATAAAATCCTGCTGATGCTTTGAATATGGTCGCATTGCATAGGTCAGATTGACATCTTAAAAATATTGAGTCTTTTTATCAATGAATGTGGTACTTTAAGTGTCCTTTAATTTCTTTTAATAGTGTACCATAGATTTTAGCACACAGATTTCTGTATGTTTGGTAAGATTTATAA